GCCAACTTTGAGGACAATAAGAGTCTCGAGGAAGACATCGGTTATTTCCACTGATTACCACTCGATGGAACCGATCGGTGATATCTCAGCCATGTCTCGGAGCTTATCATTTATTATTTTGTATTGTTTTAATACTTAATTGTATTGTTTTTCTTAAATAAATATAATAAATACCAAAAATATGTCTTTTGATCCGAAAAAGTGATCAAAAAAATTGAGATAAAATGTGGCAAAGAGTGGCCACAAAGTGGTGACCATATCAACAGACACTAGACTAGTACTCACGTGAAGATGGGACCCAATTATCACACGATTGTCACTGAATTTGATCCAAATTTCTTCGCGAAATCAATTGAAAACTTAAAACACATTCAAATCACACAAAAAGCAGTGATTTGAGCGGCAAATGTGACATAAATAACGGCATAAATTGTGACATAAAACGTGTTTTTGTTTACATTTCAAATGTATTGACAAAAAAGTTTTTGAATTCAATTCAGTGATCATCGAAATTGTGGTCAAATTCGGTGATAATTACCACCAATTCAGACATAAATATCACTCAAATCATTGTCAACACATCCACCACACCATCAGATCGTCAGACAATGCCATCGTATGAGCTCTTCCTCATCACAAAACGGTTAAGTAAAGTGAGTGAAGAAGTGATCAATGGATCAATTGATGCCATGATTGAAGTGATGACTAAATTGGATGTGTTTTATGTGTTTGCAGAAGGATTTGGTGTCGTGTCTGAAGAGGACGGGAGAACTGGTGCTCAACTCGAATGGCATCCTAAGAAAGATCGAGAATATGGGCACAAGAAGTCTGCCCTTCAGGTTCACCACAGGAATACCCGGAAACAAGAACTACACGTCCGGCAAGTATGTCAGCACCGGTACTGTCATCACATGTCTGATGATATTGTCTTAGTCTTATTGAGTACAATGTCTGGTGTTTTGTATCACTGGTGTTTACTTAGCTCTCAGATAGCAATTATTGGACATTAAATGTGAGATTAAGTCCCGAAGAAGTGCTAATTATTGTCCAATTGAATGGCTTAGAGTCAGTCTCTTAAACACACGGATTATACCGATCAGATGGACACCAATTATCACTTCTGATTGACTCAACACTCACGCAGTCATCGACAGCGAAGTTAATTTAGTTATCATTTCATAAATAAGACAATAATATCAGACATAAAGATAATTAAAAGCTTTATTGAAGAGATGTTAAAAGTGTTGTCACCCGTGGATCAGTTTCTTCCTCTACCACTGCGATGTGCCGCCGCAGACCATCTATAAGATAGCGGACTCAATCAAGATGGACACCGACATCATGAGAGTGTACTTCGACGAGAAAAAGGTGAAAATAGCCGACGACTACGTCTGTACGCTGGACGAGGAGCTCAAACCGCCGGCGCTCAGACCCACCATCCAGTCGCTCATCAGACAAAACGAGGAACGGCTGAAGGCCTCCAAGAAAATCATTACCGTTGAGTAGATCACACAAAATGACACCCGTTTTTGGAACTCATGTTTGATATTTAATTAGAAAATATTATGATTATTATATAATTTAAATGATAATTGTGTAGAAATTTAGTGTAAATTGTTTTTTATTGACAATAAAAATATATAATCGATTTAAACGTGAACTCAATTTAAGCAGCGATTCATTTGCGGAATAAATGATAAAAAAAAGTTTTTTATTGAATTTTATGTGTGTTTTGATTGATTTTAGTTTCGTTGAAATATTGGTCTCTAATTGTGGATAATTTGAGAGCTAATGGTGTGTTTGGTTCACATGTGTCGGGTGTTGCCAAAGTTGATACCGCTTTGATTGGCGCCCTTATTGGAGCCGTACTGCAGGCCTATCACTCCCTGTCCGGCCTTCAGCTGCTCGTCGCTGAAGTTCCTGACGTTGGCCTCCGACTCCTTGGGTCCGATGCCGTGGACGCCGTGTTTGGACGCCTTGCGGCCCAACGACTGCAGGCATATCTGAACGGACGTCAGATTCTGTTGCTCCCAGAGGTCGATGGTTTGGAAGAGCTCTTCGGAGGGAACGCCTAACTTCTGGGCGCCGTCTAAGAAGAATTGGATGTTTTCCATGCATTTGAATGCCATCTTCGAGGCGTTCACCTTCTTCACGGTATTCGCCTGAATGGCGTTTATTAGTCTGTATTTGGGATCAAGTATTTTGATTAGGATTTGTAGGAATTTTATTAATAGTAATTGATTTGTATTGTAGTGACATTTAATGTGTGTCCTTGTTGTTTAAATAATTTTGTATCAATGGATAAGTGGTTAAAGTGTTATACATTTCACAACAGTTGACCGATTAGTTTAACATAAGTTTCATATATTTTATATCAATTGCTGTGACATTTATAATGAATCTGTGAATTCATTATGAAATGATCGATGTTTGGAAAATGAAAATGTTAAGCATCAGGGTCACACATTTGTCACTATAATCTGCATAAATAGGCGCACCGGCAGAGTACAGTTCCGTCCTTTAGTGTCTCGTAAAACGAGTCCTTCTCTCCACTCGTATCGATGTCTTCATTGAGGAGGTCTTTAATCCACACAAGAATTTGATGAGACAGTTGTGGATCATATTTGGAGTTTATCTAATAGTTTAAAGAATTTAGACTAGAAGAATTGGATGTTTTCCATGCATTTGAATGCCATCTTCGAGGCGTTCACCTTCTTCACGGTATTCGCCTGAATGGCGTTTATTAGTCTGTATTTGGGATCAAGTATTTTGATTAGGATTTGTAGGAATTTTATTAATAGTAATTGATTTGTATTGTAGTGACATTTAATGTGTGTCCTTGTTGTTTTAATAATTTTGTATTCAATGGATAAGTGGTTAAAGTTTATACATTTCCCAACAGTTGACCGATTAGTTTAACATAAGTTTCATATATTTTATGTCAATTGCTGTGACATTTATAATGAATCTATGAAATGATCGATGTTTGGAAAATGAAAATGTTAAGCATCAGGGTCACACATTTGTCACTATAATCTGCATAAATAGGCGCACCGGCAGAGTACAGTTCCGTCCTTTAGTGTCTCATAAAACGAGTCCTTCTCTCCACTCGTATCGATGTCTTCATTGAGGAGGTCTTTAATCCACACAAGAATTTGATGAGACAGTTGTGGATCATATTTGGAGTTTATCTAATAGTTTAAAGAATTTAGAC